AATTGACTGCTGCCGCTTCGGAAGCATTCGAGGCCAGCAAAAAGGCCTTGGCCGGGGTCGTTATGCTTCACTACTTTGATTCCAGCGCCCAGCTCAGCGTTGCTGTTGACGCACCGGACACCGCCATTGGTGCCGTCCTACAGCAACTTACTGATAGATGCTGGAAACCACTAGTTTTCTACTCCAGACGTCTACAACCTGCCAAAGTCAAGTACAGCACGCTTAGTCGTGAACTGCTGGCCGTTTACTCTACGATTCGACATTTCCGACACATCCTTGAATGTAACGCATTCATTATCTGCACCGACCACAAGCTGCTTATCTACGCATTCCGAAATCAATCAGCTGGACACTTACCACGTAAGGTTCGTCAGCTTGATTTCATTGCCCAAATCTCGACTGATATCCGAGACATTTCTGGTCAACTAATCTTCGCTGATGCTCTGTCAAGTGTGTCTGTGATCGGGCCTGGTAGACAGAAATCGTGCTCTCTGCTAAAGCCGCCGCAAAATCAAACGACCTGACTGTTTAGGAACTCCGCGATTCTTTTTCGAATGTTTCAAATGTTTTCAAATGTTTTCAAATGTTTCGTCGCCAAGCTAGGAAACATCCGCAGTGCGGCTTTGAAATACTGAATTGCAGAGCCTTTTGAGCCAAGTGCAGATCCGAGTGGCTATTGATCGTGTCTTGCCTTGAATGTCAGCTGTCGATTGACTCACCTGCGTCGGCCAGTTGATCGCTTCTTCGCCCTGTCGGTCTGACGCCTACTGCGGACATGATCTGCAGAGCTTCATATACGCCCTCTAGCTCCAGGTGCTTGTTGATTGAAGTCCGGCCCGAATGCCAGGCCTCTATGAACTCACGTGTCCTTCGGTTCCTTGCTCTTCCAAGTATCTAGGCATTTTCCAGATTGAATTGGTAGTCCTCGGCATCCATATGTATTGACATTAACGATTTCCCACCATGACGCCGAATAGCCAGTTTATGCTCGTGAAGTCTTGTGCCGAGTTTTCTCCCGGTCTGGCCCACATATTATTTGTCACAATTCTTGCAAGAAAGTTTGTAAATTACACCAGATCTTTCTTCCTTACTTAGTTGGTCCTTTGCCTTGAAAAATTCGCACCGAATTGTTTCCGTTGCTTCATGTGCAACTTTGATCGCGTGAAGCATTATAAGCATTGCTGCCATCTCAGAAATTCCATTGAACTAAGGATAGTACTTTTCCTTTCTGTTACACTATTGGATACGAGTTGTGGTTGTTACTTCGACATCAGACAGCGTATAATAATACTTCTGGGGTAGGAATTCCGCTGAAACATTTTGAAGAGGTAGTCCTCCTCCGCCTTCCTCAATTGCGGCGTGTTACAGTGTTATTGAGAATACCTGTAGCTCGGGATGTGGATGCATCCACTTCACCAAAGAGGAGAACAACGACCAGCTGCCATTCTTAGACGTGCTCGTGAAAAGACATGCTTCCGGGCCCTTGGAAACAACAGTCTATCGAAAAGCGACACACACTGATCAGATCTTAAACTATCGCAGTAACCATCCGGCCAATTACAAGCGCAGTTGCGTGAGGACGATTTTCAAATGGGCACAAACACTCTGTAGCACGCTGCAGCTGTGGTAGGCAGAGGAAGACCACCTATTTACCATGTTCCAGCGGAATTCTTACCCTAAAAGTTTTATTCTACGCTGCCTGATGTCGAAAAATCAACCACTGCCCGCTTCCGCAAGCGCAACGGTAAGGAAAACATTCCTCCTACCTTACATCTATGGGATTTCTGAGTTGGCAGTGAGACTTTTAATGGCTCACGGGATCAACGTTGCACACGATGCAACGGAAACTATGTGGAGTAAACTTTTCAGATCAAAAGACCAACTCAGTAGAGAAGAAACATCAGGTGTGATTTACAAAATTTTCTGCAAAATTTGTGACAACTACTACGTGGGCCAGACAGGGAGGAAAATTGGCACAACGCTGTATGAACACAGTCTGGCCATCCGCCGCCATAATGAAATATAATTAATATAAGTACATATGGATGCCGAAGGCCATCATTGCGATGTGGGGAACGCCAAGATACTTGGAAGAGCAAAAAGCTGCAGAGCGCATGAGTTCTTTGAGGCCTGGCATTCGGGCAAGAACTCAAGCAGCAAGCATTTAGAAATCGAAGGGGTCTACGAAGCTCTGCAGGTGCAGTCAAAAATAAGTACGAAATCGACAGAGCGTAGATGTGACCCCTTGACCGACCGACGTGAGCCAATCAAAGATACATTCAAAGCAGGAGACGATCAATAGTCACTTGAATCTGGCAGTGGCTTACGAGACTCTGCAAATCAGACCTCTATAGCCGCACTGAGGATGTTGCCTAATTTAGTAACGAAACGACTGCAACAAAATTGACTAACTCGGCGAACACAACAATCCTCTCATGCTACAGTATGTTTGGGCACGTTTGAAGGAAGTTCTTACACAGCTGCGTTTGTAAACGACCGGTTGGTTACTAAGATGGTTCAAAATCTGATCGGTATGCGTTGTTCTCCGATAGACCCTTGTTTCCATTGGGCCAGAATTATGTCGCATCACGAGCACGTCCAATAATGGCAACTGGTTATTGTCATCCTCTTTGGTGATTTGGATGCCCGAGAGAATTTTGTTGAGTAGCTGATGTATTTCTTGTAGTGGAGCGTGTGAGGATAACAAACGTATCGTCCACGTAGCGTACCCAAAACTTGGGTTCCACGATCGGCAGTGCCTTTTGTTCCAGTGCTTGCATCACTGCCTCGGCTATCAGTCCAGAGACTGGCGATCCCATTGGCGTGCCCATTATCTGTTTGTAAGTTTGGCCGTGGAAAGTGAAATGTGTGGTCAGACAGAAATCAAACAACTCCATCATTTACGTGACTCCAATTCTGTTATTTGCATTTTGCGCTTTGTGTTGTTCCAGCAGGATCATCATTGTCTTCTTTATCAGCTCAATTTCATTTGATGTGAACAAGGCTGTAGCATCAACTGATATTATCGTATCGTCTCTTTCTAGTGTTATTCCTCAAAGTTTTCTAAGGAACTGTTACACCGATTGGTTTGGATTTTCTGAGCCTGTGCTTAGGTATTTCAGCCATGTTCAGAGTTATTTAGAAAGGTTGTAATGCGGTGCCCCAGGTGATAACACCATGGGCCGAAGCGGTATCCCATTTTCGTGTACTTTGGGTAAGCCGTAGTACACCGTGTTAAGGGCAGTTTCGATTTCCTAGATACCGTACGCGATCTAAATGTCATGAGTCGAATCATGTACTCTATAGAGGTTACTTCACTTTTCACGAATGTGCCGTTATTGGAAACCATAAATTACATCTGTGATAATGTCGATGAGAACCAGGTAGCTATTGGCAAACCTACTTTGGCCCTAAAGGAACTACTGCTCCAGTGGACTTTCAACATCCAGTTTCCGTTTAACAGTGAGTTATATTGACAGTACGATGGAATTGCGATAAGCTCTCCACTTTGGCCGTTTCTCGCTGAGGTGTTCATGGGTATTCTTGAACAAGCAAGTTAAAATCGACCACGATGAACCTCATTCTGTACCGCCGTTATGTCGGTGACACCTTAATCCTGCTCCATTCCTCTCGAAACATCGAGGATCAAACTAACAAATTCAATCAGAAACACGAAACGCTGGGGCTCACCTTGGAAGTAGAAACAAAGGATTCCTTTCCCTTTCTTGACGTGGCAATGAAGCGCCTCGAGAATGACTCGTTACGACGACACGTGTTTAGGAAACCTACTTGGAATGGCAAGTACGCGAATTTCCACAGTTTTGTTCCACTGAGATCAAACCGAAACCTGGTCCTCAGTTTAATGAGTCGAGCGGAAAGAACTTGCTCGAAGGATACATTTCCCGAAGAACTGAAGTGCATACGTTCGACACAGGGAAAATGGTTACCCAGACAGTTTCCTGTAAGCCAAGGTGGAGCAAAAGAAGAAGGCTCCTGCAACCCTCACGGCCCAGATAACACGTATATTTCTACAACTAACATACGCGGGAGAAATAGCCACTGAAATCTTAACTGGCCACCGTTGCCGTGCTCTCAGATACCCTTTACCATTAGCTAAAATGCAAATCCAATTCGTCGGCAAGCCAATGGAAAGAACTTGCCCCAAAGACAAGAGGCCCGTCCACGCCAAAGCTATGTGTGTTTATTCGTTTTCCTGTTCTTGTGGTGTGTTACATTGACCTAACGACGGGGCGCTTGTCTGAATGGGTTAGGGAACACCATCCGGCGTGGCTTATGACTGTCGAAACCACGCAACTCCATCATAACCACGCATCTCGCTGACACTGGTCATGCAACTAAATTAGCTGTCGTTCATAGTGATTTATCAGGCACCGGACAATCGATCCAAGTGCGTCCGTAGGCGTTTACATTGATTCGCTGAGGCTATCGCGATTCGTCTGTACGAGCCGAAATTGTGTGCTTAAAAACGGTTCACTCAAAAGTTTGAACTGCCTTGGCCCATTCGAAACGTGACGCCTGGCCCACGGAGTTGTGTGCACACTGCAGTTTTGACCTAACGGTCAGCGATTTTGCTTGGTCAGTAATCATAAGCTGAACGTGATTTCCCTACCACAAGCTTTTATCTACCAGTTTTTCCGCATATAATTGTACAGGCCTGATACAGAATTATTGAAAACATTTTCTCGCTTTCATGGACTGTTACTCAACAATGGGATTTTTACCACTGTGAAATATATTTATCACCTTGAAAGTAATTCCGCCATTGCCATTCACTTACAAAATTCAACGTCCTCCACTTGCTGTTGCAGACTTTGCGAAGCGCTAACACAACATGTAGAATAGCGTTACAAAAGGCGTTCCGCTTGGTGCACAGCTTGTAGGGCAAAATACGTAAAGCTACAATTGACGTTTCATTTGAACTAGTTTCCTTCATCCCGTACCTAACAATTCATTGTGCTTTTCTTACTGTAACTTTTCAGGCACCATACTGAAGTGATCTACACCACAGCACTTTACATTTTAAATCAAATCATGTGGCATCTGCCAGACGAAACGAGGCCAGAGGTTCGCGCCTGTTCTGGGCAACTGTGCTTAGCGGAACTTCTACGTGAGGGGAAAATGAACAGCCAGAATTGGATCGTCATCTGCTTGGACTCAATACGCATGGTGGCGTATCGTGATAGTGATACCAAGGTGGGCGCACTTGATGTCCGATTATTCACTAGAGCTGCGTAACAGCGGAGCAAATTGGCTTAATAAATGTATACTTGTTTTTAGTTGTCGGCTCAAACAACAGACAAAACCGAAGTACTTGAACGTGTATTTGCTGCAACGACATGACCTCTCCCGTACTCTGTGTACGCGAATGATGATAAGTCACCTGTTGCGGACATGCGTTTAATATGGTTGCATACTATGTTCAACTCAAATGTTGAGTAAGCAGCGCACACATGGGAAATGCACCAGCGGTAGGCCAGTGCACCGTACCGACACTTCGCTTCCACCACCAACTATGACGCGTGGGTTGAGTATACTGCGGGGTCGCCCACACTTACGCGTACTCCAATCCGCGACCCACACATACATTTTCATCATCCTTATACAACATTTGGCTGCGAAAGTTGACTACCGTTTAGCTACCGTTAATACTGAACTTCCACTTGTAGAGAAATCATGAACATCTGATATGAAATAAAACCTTTCATTCAGTATTCGTATAAACTGTGGCAACATACAGACATTCTCTATAAGCTCCACCAATTCGTTGCGCGTATATCGAGGTATGCTGACGTCTCCTTTGGGAGCCGCTTCAACTATCATCGGTCAGATGGTGGGAAGCTGATGTCCGCAGTTTGAATGGTGGTATCCATAGACTTCAGCCCCGAGAACCCTTGCCTCATTGACCACTCTGTAAGACCCTGATAAATTTGTGCAGTGAAGCAAAACACAGCAAAAGAACCTACTTTGAGATTTGCCAACCTCAAATGTGGACTCCTAGAGCATGTGATACGAAACTATTGGTCATGAGGCATAAGTCGATGAGCTCGGTTGATAAACTCCCGTTAGTTGCCTACGACAAGTTAAAAGAACTCCACTGAGATTCATAGGTAGTTGAGCTTATTACAAAAAACTGTGACGCATAAGTTGGAAAACAACACGCTCTCGACAACGAAATTTGAACTATGAGCCCGATAAACAGACGATGCATTCATCTTACCCGAACGCAACTAGCTGCGAACCGCAAACGTGTAACTCAATAAAACAATGAGCGCAATCCTTTTCACAATGAAATCCGAGGTATATATATATATATATATATATATATATATATCCATTTATGTAACGGGCAAATTAAATTGTTCTGCCGGTGGCCGAGTGGTATGCGCGGCTGGTTTGCAACCATAAGGACACGGGTTCGAAGCCGCGTAGGGGCGGTCGTCCTCGAGGGATACTCAGCCCACGCGCGACTGGTGGTGGTCGCGTGGCAGCGAAACGCCGTTACGGCGTACAGCTGGCGATTTATTATTTTTATTCTTTTTTACCTGGAGATTTCCCCTACTGATTGACCCCAAAACAATCAATCAATACCCCTTGATTGCTTATTGGACTTTGCAAGAAAAAACCTCGGTTACTTTATTTCACGTACATATCTGGACATTGATTCACCACGAGAATTTACCCGTTTTGCATCGCTCGATGTTTAAACTTGCTACTCTCGCCTTCTGTCTTACTCCTTGTGCCTGTTATACGGCACAGTTATACACTCAGCTTCGTTAGTCTGTACTGGTCCGGTCCTACTTCCTTGACTTGCCTGACCGAACTCCCTTCCAGACATTCACACTTACCCTCGTCCAGGACACACGCCATTTTCTGAGCGACTAGGCTGGACGCACTCACCACGCCCGCGTTCCATGTGCACTGCTCATTGGCTGACCTATTGACGATTAATCACTTCGCTTTAAACCATGCTGACATTAAAAGCGCTTCGCTTCATTGTGCTGGCTTGCCGAACAACCTCACCGTGGTTCCAGCTAGGTGGTTCGGGATTTTCCCATTCCAGCAAATGGTTCGGCGGCAGTGTTTCAGGACGTGCTGGGTTTTCGCCTGGCAAGCCTTCTCCCTATAAAAACCACAAATGTCTGATTAACAGCATTGTGACTTGGCGGATGTGACTTGCCACTAAATAAAGTCACCGCCCCTTGCTTCATCCTGGCGAAGCATTGTGTTCCAGCAACGTAATGCTGTAATTCTGGGGAGCATTGGGCCCTTGTTTGACAGACGAAAAAACAAAAAGCACATGAACTGAGCAATCGATCATTAGCTCCTGGTGGGCGTGATTCCCTGAATTGGCTCCGCTGCCTTGCAGGCGGGACATTCGGCTAAAGGCTCGGGGTGGTGTCCCTAAGTTAACACCCTACTTCGGCTTGGGCCACCAGGTAGTATCTCGCCCTCTGACGAAAGCATGGACTTTGATGTATTGTGTTGTGTTTTCTTTTACCATTTCTGTACTTTCTCTTGAGTCCCATGGTTTCTGATGGCTCTATGTCTTATCATAGACTGTTATATATATATATATATATATATATATAGTTAAGAAAGCTTTAAGGTGGAAACTACAAGATTCGAGTTTACAACAGGGAAACGCACACCAATCAAGTCCTCAAGTGTAAAAACCAACACCCGAATTATCGCAAATCTATGCGCATTTGAGTAGAAACACATTGCAATCCTAAAAAATAAAAACAAAAGGATAGATATATTCACGTTGTTTTTAGTAACGGTACCCATGCACCTTCGTCAGGTAATGTTTGAACTGCAGTGTAGAAAACGCCGAATTTGTGGGAGTGGGGAATAAACGGATTGTTTCACTTTGTACTTACATAGACAAAAATCAACCAAACATTTCAAACCACATGACTGAGGGGAATTCTGTAGAGCAATAAAGGAAAACTGTGAGCACACAGACTACTGAAAGTTAAATACAGGATACAGTCTCATACATGCGAGAACTATGCGGATCAAATGGAAAAGTTGCCAACTAGAAAATTGGAAGAGAACTGCGGCCGAAAAAACACTGCGTCGTCATTGAGCTCAGCGCATGCCGGTGAAGAAAGAAACAACTTATTAGTGAGTCTTAAGGAAATTTATTTGGTTTGTGAAGATTCATCGCAGCTAGGCTCAGACAGACATCCACCACACATCCAGGAAGGCTCTAGACGGCCGTTTCGTCCTTTTGGGGCTAGACAATAGCGTGCACCCGCCGAATCCTGACGGATTCCAACCCTTGATCTTACTCTTCCGAGCAGCGACCTATGATTCTGAGCGCTGGGTGTCGGTGGCGGACCATCATGGCTGATATCTAACCGCGATAGTAGTAGTAGTATAGTATAGTATAGTCGGTAGATTATCAACCTGACAAATCCCTACTATTTAGTCCAGCTTTTGGAATCGTTCTTCGATCGATGAATAACAGTGAATCCTCAATTTCTTTTCATTCTAGACTTTACATTTTTAATGGTAACCCATTAGTAAATTTACAGTTGATACTGTACATGTTGACAATGCACCCTTTTGGGTACATAAAGCTTATACTGACTTGACTTGACTGGACTTGAAAGAAGACAGCTTGAACAGCGTATCAGCATCATCACACCTTAACTGAAGGTGAGCCACACACTTCAGCCATTGTGCCTGCAATATAAAAAACAACGGAGAAGCTTATGTTATTTTGCACATGTCATTTTCTTGTTTGTCGTTTTTAATCGTTGAGCATTAAGTATCCAAATCTATGCAGTTATATACGCAGATCCTCTACTGGTTTCGACTAGGTGCCATATTCTGAATTGTTTCCAACCATCGGCACTCCTCGTCCTTTGGTCCCCTACCAGGTAGACGTGTGGATCCAATGGTGACAATAGGTGAAATCAACGATTTCATTTGCTGTCGTCAGGTGGATGGTGGACCACCACGTGGTCTCTCTTCAAGTTGAGTCCTGCAAGAGCAAAGAGAGCGCGATGAAGCAGACGCTCAGCTGACATGCGCAGGACATGACCGAGCCCTTAACTGGCGCAGCCAAACCAGCTTATTGAAGGGAATACTCGCATTCCCTAATACGCGATGTTTGACTTTAGTGTTGTAGACATGTTGTTGCCACCACACACGAGCAATCCTCCTCAAGCACCCGTTGTCGAAAGCCGAGTGTCGGCGCATATCATCTACGCGAACTGGCCATGAGTCGTTTCCATATAGCAACACCGCCCGAATGGTGGCACTATAAACACGACCCTTTACTTTTAGGGGATATACCGGCGACGCCACAAGTGTTGCAGGCTGACAAACGCCGAGAGAGCTTTGGCGCTGCGAAAATAAACTTGTCTTCTAATGATACCACAGCAGACACACAGTTGCCAAGTTAGACAAAGCCATCCACTTGTTCAAGCTGTGTACCTTTAATATTGAGCACGGGAACAATTAAGTGCCAATCCTGAAGCGGCATTTGATACCTTGACGGAGCAAAGCAAATTCCGTATCTAGATGCTTCAATCGCCAAACTATCTAGAATGGTTTGCATGCTCTGTGAATCCTCACCAAGTAAGGCGACACCATCGGCATAATCTAAGTCGGTTGCTCGCTTGCCCGGTAATAGCTGTATACCAAAATTTTGGCAACCGTCTAGAGCTTTCGACAAGATGTCTTCATTCGAAACATTGGAGAGGAACGAGAACATAGGGCAGCCATGCCGTGCACCGCTAATGACAGCGAAAGACGACGAAAGTCTGCCATATACCGTCACTCTGCCAGGATGTGGAAATGCAGTGCGCGTAGGATGGCCGTGTACTTTGCTGGGACACCGTTCCTTAGCAAACAACGCCATAGTGCAGGTCAATCAACCGAGTCGAATGCGGCACGGATGTCCAGGAATTCAACGATGGCAGGACTCTGGTAATGGTGGCGTTGTTCCAGGATTTGATGGAGTGTGAATATCCGATGCACACACCCGCGGCCAGGTCCGAAGCCAGCTTGTTCTTCCCGGTACTGCGATTGGCTAATGGGAGTTAGTCTACAGAGTAGAATGGATACCAATAGCTTGGAGGCAACCAAAATGTGATTAATCCCCCGGTGATTGGTATACGAAGTGCGAGCACCCTTGTAAAGAACCGGGACAATAACTGGCTCGCCTCAGGAAGAAGGCA